AGAAGGCATGAAGGAGTTACGCCAGGAAGTCCTGTCTGAAGAGTTGCCTCAGTTGGATATAAAATTCAACATGAGAGTTTCCTGACATCACCACCGAAGGGGAAATTCAACACCGTCAAGGAAGAAATGTTTCTTGGCTCTGAGCTCTGGGAAGAATCAGGCATAGAAGTTGTTTAAGAACATAGGGTGTCCTCCATAGAATTTTTATCATTATCAGTTTCTCCTCATATGGTTCCCATAGTAAATGCCACAGGCGTGGGATTCTGCAGTTCTGAGGGACAGGAGGTGGGCGAGCAGTGGTTATGAGTGACTCTGGAGAGTCACGTAGCCCCTTAGCCCCACTGTTTTTGGCAACATCAATGAGCAAAAATCACAACTTACCTGGGCCTCAGCTTCCTCATCTGTAAAAGGGGGAGTAATAACAGCATCATAGTGTGGTTGTGGAGATGGAATGAGGCAATTTGTGTGTTGTTTAAAACAGTACCTGACACAAGTGCTACTAAGTGTTGGCTGATTTTTGAGTAAGACTCGAGGAGACATTGACAATAAGGCCTTTGTGCCAAATCCAGTCACACTCTTTGTGTACTCAAGTTTTATTAACAAAACCATACCCATTCATTTATATAGTGTCTACAACCGCTTTCATTCTACAAAGGCAGATTTGAGTAGTTGCCACAGAAACTGCATAGCCCACTCAGGCCCAAATGTTTACCATAAGGCCCTTTAGAGAAAAAGCTTGCCAATCCATGGACTAAAGGAGGGAATGGTCCATGTGATGTCTTGTACGGCACTTCTGGGCCTGTCCTAACCCTCTCTCCAGTCTTACTGCCTGCACAGCACCTCCCTGGGAATGAATTTTCCGAGTGATAGCTATAGCACATGGTCTTGATCGGCTGAGTTGTTCCAGGGCTTCCCAGGCCATGGGAAAGTAGAGGCGGCTCTGAGAGAACATACCATCAGTATTCTGGGCTACACGGAGCCAGCGTGCATGGGGATGCCCAGAGGCAAAGCTTTTGTTTAGCACATACATTAATAAACACTGTAAGCCACTCCTCTGTTCCACTTCATGAAGCTCCCTCAGTCTGGAGTGCAAGGCAATTCTGCTATCGACTGATTAGCAGGTGGTGTCAGAATATGTAAGGGATCAACGAGGCGGAAGCATGTCACGGCACTTTGCTGTTTCTCAGAAATTCAAGGAGTAAACAGATTCAAGCCAAGGTCGAGTGTCACTGACTCAGGGAAACTCTGGGCTGATTTTCTGGGCAAAGGTCTGGCTTGAATGTGCCCCATCAGCAGCCATGAAACCAAGCTCAGGTTGACACATTAGTAATGGTACGTAGCGCCAAATTTTGATCGTGGAAAATGTATAGAGTATCTACAAGCTTTCCCGCACTTAATAGTATTTAACAACCACAGATGGCATTTTCCAGACAACAGACCTATAGTGAAGTAAAACATGCCAAATGAGAAACTAACCAGCATTATCTTCATTGTATTTCATACATCAACAGTTTTTGTTAGCACATCTTAGCTCTATCCTTCACCTCTCAGTATTTGTTGGTTGGGAATCAGATGGCAAATAGCAACTGTCTTCAACTGATTACAGTCCTTTCTGTGGACAACATCCTAGCTACAGGCAGAAGAGATCAGCTCAAACCCTTTCACCCATGCCTGACCATCCATCAGTCATGAGCATCATTGGCTCCACTTTCTGAACAGAATGGGGCTTTTACTGGTTGGCTCCTGGGCCTCAGGGGCCATGCAGGACTCAGCACAATTAGGAATGTTCTACAGTCACCTCTGGCAAACTCTGATTAAGGTTATCCATACAATGTTCTAGAACTGTCTAGAATGTTCTAGGATTTGGCAAAAGCATGGTCTCATCAGTCAAATCCAGCCTGCTGCGTGTTTGTGTAAATAAAGTTTTATTAGAACAGATCTGTTTATTCCTCTTGGCACTACATGGCTATTTTTTACATTATTAAACAGCATTTATATTGTTACATGTATGCTGAAAATATTTCATGTCCAGCCCTTTACAGAAAGTTTGTAGACTCCTGCCTTGATGAGAGGACATCTCACCAAAGCATGCCCTAAACCAGGACATGAGCGTTTGGAGGTACTTTTTGAGATTCAGCGACCAACTTATTTCCTGGCTTGGGCAGTACAGCTAGTGTTTGAGTTCTTTGATGGGAGAAGATAGTACCTTTGGGGCTGGGAGAAGAGACCAAGTTTGGTTTTAGTCTCCTTCTGTGTGAGTATGCCAGAGCTTTGCTTTGCATGTCTGGAAAGTGAGCAGGAAATGCAGACCTGGAGCTCCCTCCTCTGTTCTCAACACACTCTCCCACTAGCTTCTAGAAATGACAACATCCTGTTGCAGTTAGCTGTTGGGCTTTAATTCTCTGAGGGCAGAAACTAGCTGCTACTGATTTTGGATTATTCTCCCCTCCTAAATTAGGACTCAAAAGGTGTCTTGCCCAATGTGGGCAGGTACCTGTGTGGGTAAAAGGAGCTCTCAGTTTCCATCAAGGCAGGTGACCGTCACGTATAGTTGTGGGTGCTGCCCAAGAGGAGTTCCCAAGCTAATGTGGGACACAAAACAGAATTAGAAAAAATGACATCTATTACCAAGACAACCAAATGAGGGCTGTGGACCACTGCAGATGGCTCCAGGTTAAGACAGGCTGTGTGGAGGAAATACACAGCTTTGAATGGGTAGGAACAAGATTGCTTCAAGAAGGTGGTCTTCTTAATGATCTTCCAGGGAGAGAGTGAGAACTCTCTTTGCTCTTCTCCTTTCTTTAAAAACAGGGCACACCAAACCCAAGCCATAGGAAGGCTTTGTGGGCAATTGTTTTTAAAGCCTCCCCACACCCCCACCCCCCAATGTGCTTCTGAGGTGCAGCCAGGATTGAGAACTTTTGGTTTACAGGAGCTGTATTTTCTTTGACCCAGCAGCCGTAAGATAACAGAAAAAAACGTTGGACTCTCAAGACAGTTGGGACAAGAGCCTGACTAGAAGACGTTTCTTCTCATCCAGGGACAAATTTTAATTCACGATTTAACTTAACAGGAAGGAAAATACATAAATCCATGAGGAAGCAGTGGTTTTCATACAACCCCCACTGGACAGAGCAAGACCTATAGGGCATGGGGAAAGCAAACAAAATGAGTTCTCAATTCCTTTCAAATAATAGTGATGCCTTGCAACATGGGACTCTCAGAAGGAAGGAATGGACATCAGTGTGAAGTGTCCCAAACTGCTAAGCACTGCTTTACATGCTTAGCATAGCCTTGGAACAACTCAGTAAGCATTAGCGTATCTGCAATTTCTACTTTTCCCAATCCAATCTGGAGGAAGAACTGGTTTTGAAGGGACCTCTCTGGGTCATTATTTCCAAGTCAGAAAACATAACCCCAATAGACAACAGCACAGCTCCCAGGAAGCACTCTTGGATAGCAAATGCTCCAAGCTCAGTGGAAGCATCTTTAACTGTCCCCCCTTGCAGTCCCTAACTCTAAAATTGTCAAATGAAGGTAGCTTGAAAAATTAGGTTTGGGGCCCAATGAACTCCATCTCCCATCACTCAGTGCCTCTCATGATATCTGAGGATTTCAGGATAGTAAGTACATTCTCTTCAGATGATCAAGAACAAGGAAGTCCACACCAGCCCCTTGTCAACTCAGCTGCTCAGAGAAGATAAATAAAACTGTGAGAAAAAAAAAAAAAGTCTCTTCATTAGAGACAAAATTTGAGGACATTGGGCTGTGGAACATACAGCTTAACAAGTTTAAGAGGGGAGAGCAAAGGGAGTGCTTTAAAAACCAAGAGTTAAGTTTACAGAATAGAGAGGCAAATGATTTTTAGATCAACCATCAGGGAGTCTGGTAAGTGAATTGAAGAGGAAGAAGAGACACTGACCAGGATGTGCCATGTGCTAGAGCCTCGTCTCAAATGACCGTGAACACTCTACAGTTGGGAATTATGGCCTGCACTTAAGAGACAAGGATGCAAGATGCAGCCAGAGACAAGAAGGGGTATGCCCCTGACCCCAAGCCCAGTTTCCAGCAAAAGACTAAGAGTTCCTCAGGTTCTAGTCACCAAGATACCTGTGGCTTGAACTTTTGTTTTCTACCTAAACAATGTAGAAGACACCCAAGATCTCCTTCAGCCAACTTTCTACTGTTAAATGAGTACTAATCAAACTGTACTGTAATTTACCTGTTCATATGTGTGTCTCCCACACTGGACAGTGTGCTGATTTTATTCATCTTGTTACCTACAGTGAGTGAGACCTGAGAGTCAGGCATACAGCCAGGCTGGTTGCTAAATGTACAAATAAGACTGTCAATGTGAATGCAAACATTATGTCTGACACATAAAGAAAATGACATCAGAAAATAAAAAGGACATCCCTGAAATATGGTATCATACATTCAATCTACCCAGATAGCTGGCCACCTCTCCAAAAGTTGATCAGCTCTGGAATTTAAACTGGTGCCACGATAGTTGTTTTGTGACCAGAAAAGTAGACTGGAAAGGACAAAGTCCTAAAAGGAGATGTAAGAGACACAGGCCCACACCAGGAAGCCATGATCTGGAAACAATGAGAACCTAATGGCAAAATCTTCACTGAGTGTTTTCTTAAAAGTCTATGGGTTTTCCGCATTTCTCTCCTTTAAAAATAATTTTTTAAAAACCCGAGACTAAAAACATATAATCCTTCAGATTAGTGCTTAGCGTTTAAAGATAGAAACTTATTTAAGAAACCAAATATAACAACTTAATGCAGCATCGGCGCATTTCAACAACAGGAGTCTGTGATAAAAAATTAAAAACAAAACAAAACATTTTTCTTTTTTCTCCCCCCCGCCCATAGTGGCAGTGCTGCAAATTAGAGAATTCTTGAAAAAAAAAAAAAACAGTGAAGAAATGGCCCACTGTGTTCCAAACCAGAGGAGGCATCAGGGAAACAACCACTCAAGTGCACAAGTGGCATTTTGTGATCAAATTTATTTTTTGTTTAAATTTCATTTACTTTGTTTTACTGTAATTTACACGAGAGACTGCCAAGTAAACTAGATATTTTACATTCACCACACATTCCCTCAAATCTCCACAGTTGTTAGAAAAACATTAAAATCCATGCGCCGAGATCTCATTTCCATGTGAGCCTAAGCTCCCAATGATGATACAGATGCCAGCGAGAGTTAAGTTCATTAAATGGAGAGGGCTAGACTCTTTATTTCACAAAATTAGCAATAATCTTCCTCACATCAAACACTTTGCAGACAATGATTATGCTTTGACAAAACCTATCTTACAACAGTGTCCGGAGAGTAAACATCAGTCTTGATCCTGAGTACACAGAGGACATATGCGATGTGAGGTTTTCTGCGGAGGACAACAGGGCATCGTAACGCAGTAGTGATACTAAACACCCTTGTCTGAGTCACTGCAATCACTTCAGTGGGGACACGGTACTTGTGGGAAAACGAGGAGCGGGGAGGGCAGGACTGTCAGCAAATCAGATTACTAATGTGATGTGACTACAGGGGCTGGCATGTTCTAGGAGGGATGAGCGGTTAAAGAAGACAGTTTGTGACCTGAAGGCTTCAACAATGTCATTGTGTTCAAGCTTCCAGGACTGACAGGAGGAAAACGGGATTTGGACAGAGAAACCTGATAAAAATCTTACCTTGCTATTGTCTCTTTCTTTAAAAAAAAAGGTGGGGGGGGGGAAACGTGGCAGTAGCTTCTAACTAGCAGTTTCATGGTTCTTATTCGGGACATGCTCCAAAGACATCCTGCTCAGGAGCACTACCGCAAGGGAGGAGGGGCACTGGCCCCTCAGCAGGACCCCCTAACTGAGCAGGCCGGCCTCATGCTGCATCTGAAATTTTCCTATCTCAGAGTCAGCATCTCCCCTGTAAAGTGTATTTCAACAAGAAAAGAGGAAAACATCTTCACTGTCTATATTCTATCGTGTGAGCTGTGAGTAATCTACATCATTTGCATAGTTTCCAAGCTGTAATTTCAGAAAACAGTCATTTCAGAAACAAGATTCCATGGAAGTGCTGTACTTCCAATTTCTCTAAACAGCCAACAACGCTATTAATTTCTTCATCAATTTCTTTGTTTGCCTAACAGAAGCCTGAAAATTGTATAGTGTTTATTATAAATCACAAACCGTCATCTCCATTTCTGCTAGGTTTGATGTAGAAAAATACTTGAAATTTAAAATACAAAAATCCAATAAAAACTGGAAATTTTTTTTAAAAGGACTTTTCCCTAGGGGCAAACAAGTAAAAACTGGCCTATAATTTTACTTCTTACTAACAAATATTGTCCAACCGGCTGTATGATAATAACCATCCAGAAATAAATCATTATAAATACATTCAGAGTTTACATTCCGGATTCATTGGAATACTAAAAGCTTTTCAGTAAATTTCTCTGTGGGAGTCTGTTGCTTATAGGACTAAAATAAAGATTTATAAGAGACTGATTTAAAAGAACAGAAAAGTAATAAAAGTCTCTATATATATATTGGTCCACAACTTGACATTTATGAAACATACCAGCTAGTATTACATTGCAGTCAATTTGTCCATGAATGGTATTACTCTTGATAATTATTAAAATTTGTTCCAGGTATATATATTGAAAATATTTTCTTTTGCATTCTTGCTGAAGATAGGTACAGTACTTTGGAGAAATTGTACTAATCCCTTCAGTATGTTTGTATGTACATATATACACAAGTGTGTGTATTCTGATCTGTAGCTCTACATGCGTTTTATATACAGCCACAGACATACACACACAAACATATATACACACGTGGTTGGGGACCTGTGCATGTGAGACATTATCACAAGCACACATCTGGGAAACATCAACACTGCAAGATACTGGTCAGATTCTTCTTCACTCATCACTGGCTGCACTTGTTCCCCTCACTTGACCTTGATTACGTAACTGTAAGAAAAAGTGAAAGTGCAATGTGTTAAAATACACAGACACACAATGTCAGACAGTCTTCAGAAAAACAAAAAAAAAGTCATCATTACAGCGAAACCTGTAGCAAAAAAGGGTACCCTGATGACTGCATTTTAAATATTTAATCTTTTGAAGATTCTGGTCTTACTAGTGCAGTGGCTTAACATTCTGTTTCATCAGAGGGAAAATAGAAGCAGAAATAAATCACAGAAACTTAGAAGAACTTAACATAAACGGTAACTTAAAATTTTTAAATGAACACTGAATTAAAGAAAGGGCTCTGGAGGAATCCTGGCAGAGTTCATTCATTCTTACTTGGAATAACTATTTCTCTACACAGCTGACCCCCTCATTTCTCCTGTGTTCAATAATTAAAGAGCAGGTAGTGCAAGTAAGGGGTACACAAAGAACCAAGGTAGAGTGGGAAGACTGTTCAATATTGTTCTTTTCCTAACACTGTAGTGAGAGATTAATGAAGATTCAATATTTACAACCAGTGTTCTGTCAAGTTTGGTTTACTCACTGATTTCAGTAAGTGGTGGGGATTCTGAGGCTCTTTTTGCCCCTCTAGGAAAATCTCATCTGGGTATATAAATTTGTTTTAGAGAAATAACATTGCAAAAATGTTTCACAATATCAATGAAAACCAAAGTATATTTACACATATTAAAGCTAACCACAAAGGTAAGTGGAGATTCGACATGAAGGACGACTTTCTGGTGTTCAGGAAAAATTTCAGCTAAAACTATGGAGGTTGGCCCTTTTGGTATGGGAAGAAGGATCTTAGTCTGACTTAACACACTTTTTTTTTTTTTTTTTGTGGGACCCTCGCTGGTGGCCGGGAATTGAACTGGCGCTGCAGAGGCTGCAGGAAGCCTCACAACCCAGCGCTCAACCGCTGCACCACCAGGGGAGGCCCAAGACTTTAACACACTTTTAACTATTTCCTCACTAATCACAAATGGTCCTACTAAGAAATTTGTCAGTTAATTGGTTACTGATGAAACTATCATTTGGCTTCTAGGCAAAATGCATGATGAATACGTGCAGTTGGCAGCAGATTTCTAAACTCAAACACTAAGAACTAGCTTGGAATTACTAAATGCAACTTTGTTCCACACATAAAAATCTTACAGGGTAACAACTCAAGTGTGTACTGACAATTTCTAAAATATGTTATCTCTTACATGCTAAAAATTAAGCCACATTTAAACACTTAGGCTCTGCTCAGCAAGTTAACTACCCATTACCAAAAAGGTGTTGGCTTTTAAACATTCTTTTTACCCAGGTCTTCACTTACACAGTTTGATATTGTCTCTGACCCTACAGGGGACTCATCTAGACATCAGCAGCCGACGTGCCTCGAACGGAACCCTTCTTACGCATCTAAACGTAAAATAAAATCATGAGCTGCTGAAATCACAGACTCTAAATTGGGTTAGCAAGCAAGGAGAGAAAAGATCTAGAAGAGCTTGTGAAGTGACTGCTGCGTGTTTGTAACCACACACACAATGAGAATGAAGTTCTGAGGCACCTCTAGGAATCTTGGTCAAAGAAAACCTTACAAAGGGCTTTTCTTACACAGTACAAAAAAAGATTTATCTATTCTTAAATCCAGGAAACAAAAACCTGCAGACTGTTGATGTAAAATTATCAAAGACAGCAAGGGAAAATGAAGCCTTCACCAATGTACTGTGAGAAAATGCCCAATGGTCTGGTTCGTATTTTCACAGTCCTCAGACTAGACTGTGGGCCAAGAGGGCGGCACCCCTGCTACTTCTGAGACCAGGGTCCCTCAGAGGAGTTCTTTATGTTGCTAGGAAAGGGTAGAACAAGAAGAAAAAGTGAGCACAAGAACACTGTGAAGTACACGAGGATGTGTCAGAAAGGGCAGACACGCAAAACAGCCTACAGAAAATTAAAAACAAAAACAAAAACAAAAACTCAATGAGAAAATTAAGAATAGATAGAAAAGGAACAAATGCAATAAACACTTTTCTAAAACTCAACACTCCTCTCCCATCCTCCACAGAAGTGCCAATTGAGAACACCCGGCATAATGCTGGCCCAAAGTATTCTCTTAGTTGCTGAGTATAACCCCAGTATTTCTCCACAGAATTACAGACAGGGACATTCCTCTCATAACTAACCTCTCAAGACATTCTTCCTTTCCTTCAGGATCAAAACCCATTTGAAAGAAATCCAATTCTTAAATACTCCTGAATTAAGAATTACAATGTATTAAAATTCTATCATCAGGTATTAGGGAACTAGGACTTTAAAAAAAAAAAAACCACTAAACAAAACAAAATGGGACATTCCTCTGTGGTGAAAAAAACTTGAAAATGTTAAGCCTCTTCAGGAGACAGGTGCTTTCTAGCAGGCGTTTTGACCTGCAGGCTTTATGCTGCCCAGATTTTGAAGATGCTCATAAACCAAATGTTAAGAACTCCAAGCAGCAGTTTTGTGGAAAATAAAAGTATTCACCAATGACCTAGAGCAAAATAACTGGGATTTTACATCAGGATGATCAGCAATTACTGCTGAAATTTGTCTTCAAATAGTCTTGAAATATTTAAGAAAATCCATGTACCCTCAACCCTAACCAATGATAGATTTCTACCAACTTCATGGAGATTTCAATGAGTTTGAGCCATGTGGATACAATAAGGATGATTACCTTCTAAAAAATTGGGCTTCTGTGTATTTTGCACCTTCTCCAGTGCAACTCCGCACTCATGAATAACTTACTCACATGGCAGGACAACTGCTGTTAAGTGGGAGTCACCATCTCCTCATCAGGGAACTCATTGTACTAACAATGGCACTGCTCTGTGTCCAGGTATCATGAGACTGAGAATTTATGAGGAAAAATAAGAGCACAACCCTGGGGGCAGTGGAGGACATAGCCAAAGTGTCTCCAAAGGTGCTTGAGATAGACCCGGTCAGAGCACCAACCAGGGAGGGCTCCATTCACCTCTCTTCAACCACAACCACTTTCCTCATGTTATGGGCATGCAGTTCTTCAGCATAAATATCAAAAAGAAAAGGCCTCCCTCCCCAAGAGTCTGAGCCTGATAATAAACACAACAGAAACAAGTCTGATTTATCTTAGTGCTGGCATATCCTTTTTGGCAATGCCAGGACTGTACCATAAGCTTAGTGAGAATGAGTGTAAATCATGCCGCCAGGTTTCTCTGAGGACTCGAGAACCTAGAGGGAGTGAAACCAGGCAAGGCAGGGGAAAAGCACCAAAACTGAGTGCAGTCAAGGGTGCCTTTTGAGAGCAGGGCCTCTGCCCCTTCAGAAGGAAAGACAAAGTGGGAGAGAGGCATGAAAAGAAAGACAGGAAGTACCCATGACTCGCTCTTGCCTGTTGAAGTATTCTGCCTAGGGTTAAGTCTTAAAAAAGAGGGTGAAGGAGTCTTCCAAGAGTGCCATTTTATTACCCTACTCCCAAGATTCAGAACTCAGAGTTATACTACTACATGAGAAAATGAAATCAAAGAGGCTTCCACTGGCTGGCCTAAAAATCAAACCCCAATTTATAACATTGTCTCTATGGGAAAACACTCACCAATTAAACAAATTTCGACTTAAAATTTTTGGAACAAAATCTATTCATAAGCTGGAGACTGTCTGAAGTTTACTTTATGTATAAGATAAGGTTAAAACATTTTATTGCCTTATAAAGAAAATATGTCCTAGTCCTCTCCGAAGGTTTGTATAAAGCTAATTAGAAGCAGATCTGCTGTAATCACCAAAAGTAAGCAATTTTAAACACAGATTCTTTATGATGCGATGTGCCAGACAAATAGATTTCCTTGTGTGCCAAAGAACCTGATTTGCTGCCATTCTCCTGTGATTAAATAGAGTTCCTGCCTCACACACAGGCATTCGTCAAACACTCTCGCCTGCGGGGCTTCCAAAACTGGGACTGCTGGCAGAACTCTAGATGACTGCATGGAAACCACGAGTCTGTCTTGAACATTCCTTGGGTTCATTTCCCCGTGGGGCCTTACTTTCAACTAAAAAGAAGTGTAGCCCAGAGCAAAAGCAAAACCAGATATGTGCAAAAGAAAGTCAGGGAAGAATCTGTCCTTGAGAGACTGATGATACTCAATTGGTGGCAAGGAAAAGGTTGGGGCTTTAACTGAAAGGCTGATGCTGATCCTAGCACATGGATCACAGGAACTTCTGCCTGATGCTAATGGAGACATAAGGACCCCTGCTAGTTGTGGAGGAGGGAAGACATTTCTGGAATCAGTGACAATAACACTAGCCTTATCTTTCCTATAGAAGAAGGAATTAGGACTCGCTGTGCTTACATTAATAACTTACTGTGTTAACAAAGTGAGCCAAGGCAACTTGGTCTGATTAAGTGAGTGGCTAAAAGAACTGTGAGCCAGGTACTATCACAGAAAAGTAATGCATGAAAAAGAATACAAAACCATTCCAGGAAACAAATTCTTATCAAGAAAGCTCAAGCCTACTTTCATGAAAGATGCTCAACAAAAAAGAAATTGGAACATGTGAAGGGATATTAGTACTTAAGAAACTTAATTTTGGAGAATACATAGATTAAGGAATGGCTTTTAATACTACTCCTCTTCATTCTAAGTTTATACTTACTAAGTACACAGAGTTTGAGAAAGGAGGAAATTAGAGAATTTCCAAAGAAAGGGAAATCTTACTGTTTCTAGTTCTTTCTGTGTTTCATCTTCCATTCTTCTAATGTCTTCCATCGTCAGATCAATCCACTTGTCAATCCAACAAAAAAGCTGGCGGTGAAAGTTTGTAAATATCCTTTTTTCTTGCTTTAAAATAAAGAAGAAAAGTAGTATAAGATGGCAAAAAAAAAAGATTAATGACATATTAACTGTATGTTCCCCAATTAGCCCATTAAATTCGATAAATACTTGGTTTGAAAAGACTACTCTATGGCAATTAGAGGAATTTTAATTATCTATTTAACCAAATAAAAATTTTCCTATGAAAAGTGAAACAATTTCTCCTTGCAAAACGGTAGCATTCTCTAGCAGAAACTATTTGTGCATGTTCTGATTCAACATAAACTCCTGCTGAACCTGATTTATTTTTACCTTTCACTAAATGCCAATGACCAAAGGTCAACTCAATTTTTTTCTGCTATGAAACTATACATTGTCATTCTTAATTTCTCTGCAACTCAAAAGAATACTGTGAGATGGGATATAAAAATGCACTGAAAGAAATGAGCCTTGGGGTCTTTGAAGTAGTATTTAATAAATTAAGAACTCTATGCTCTCAGTTAATTTTCTACTCCAATGCTACTGCTACTATATATATATACTAATAAACTCATGTAGATAATTACTGGTTTTAATTTTTGAATTATTTAATTTTTACTAAACTTCCCCCGAGACAGAAAAGTGCAGTGAACAGTGAGTATTTCAGTACTTTAGTATTTCAGTACTTTTTGGACTGTCTTCCATATTTAGTTTTTTTTTTCCCCTCACAAACAGAAGGGACTTCATCAATTACATGTGTGACTTATATTTATCAAAACTGGATTGTTAATGTATGATTATGATCCAAGAGGAAGGAAGGAAGCCAAAATTTAGAGTGCCCACTATGGGGCCAACTGCAAGCAGGCCCAAGAATAATCAAAGTTTCCAGTACTCTTAAAGGTCTTTTTTAAAATAAAATGTTACAACAGTTATAGTATTAACAAGTAGACAAGTTATGGTGAAACCCAAACACAACTAGTCACAGGTTCAGCGATACAACAGGGGGCTTCTTTATACTGACTACTGGGATAATATTCACAGGAAAAGCAATGAACAAAGGCTCTCTGCAAGCTCTGCATGTGTTTACAACCATGTGCATTTATACAACTGCAATCCCCAACCCCATCACACTGCCCATGTTACTTCTAAGAAGTAAAATGAAGCAATTAGAACTGGACCCCCAGATTATGTCACCCTAGGTCCTATTCTCAGTCACGGTTGCCAAAGGAGATATCACACAAGAAAGTGCAAAGCACACAATGTGTAATGTCAGGGAAGATCTGTGTGGAGGGCAGTGCGAAGGTGGAACTTCCCGCTTAGCAGGCAAGTCCTGCCCTTTCCTTCAGCCAAAATTGGAGCTCCAGGCCCCTATGGCTCTCTAAGAAGAGCTGGGCAAACCATCAGGGAAGTACTTTGAACACAAAAACTGCTATGCTCTTGCCCAAAGTCAACCCCTTAAAATCTCTGCTGGCATCTATCTTTGCTTTTGTGAGGGAAAAACAGAAGGGCAGAGAGGAATTATACAGGGACATTCATTTTTACCTTGTAAAGGAGGGGAAAAAGTGATAGCAGAAAACACCCATTAGTAGGGATCTTAAATCTTAACCTAAATTCAAGTCATCAAATTTTGAACAGATTTTACCTTCTGAATGAAGTTTTCTACTTTGCTTTGCAGTCCCCACCACTTGAATTTGATAGTCACCAGCTTATAGGCACACATCTGAGGACAGTCAGGGTTGTTTGCCAGCTCCTTCTAGATGAGGAGAATTGAAAGAGAGAAATCGTGAGATAAATTTTTATGTTTTGATTAAAATTGACTGTTGTATAATGACATCACAGACATACATGAAGAAAATTACAGTCTCATATGTGTTTAATTCAGGTATTTGGAAATTCCAAATTGTTTTAGCAAAAGCGGCGGTATTCCCCTACTGCAAACCCTCCTTCCACAGATGTAGTTACTTCCTGGCTCCACAGTTTAATAGGCACATTGCTTTGCCTCAGATTACACTATTCATACCTCATATTAAATACCAAATTCTATTCACATCCTATCAGTGGTGAGTCTTTAGTATATAAGAGTTCTCATAACATCATTATCATACTCCCACTGTGGATGTGGTGAGGCACAATAAAAAACAATGAGTCGGTTTAGTCATCATCTGTGTCTTCAAAACACTGGCAAGTAGAGTGGCACTGTGTTTTAACTGAGGATTTTCAATAGAAGGGGTATACTGAAAGGGATGCAGCAGGAAAAATAATCTATAATTATCAATATCTGAAGGCAAATCCCATACACATCTGGACTTTAATTTCCACCAGTGATTACCTCAGTTTAAGTGGTGTAGTTAAGGAATCAAATCATATGTTGTTATACAAAGAAAGGAAAAAAACCTTTTTTTTTTTTTTTTTTAAATAAAGTAAGGCAGAGGTGGAGGGATTATTTGGATTGAAAGAGACATAACATAATGTTCGTAATTTATTTTCAGAAAAAACTGTACCCTTAGATTATTTTACCCTAGGGTCAGGATATAAAAATTCACTGTGAATTTTTAGGTTCACCCAAAATATGTTATGATATGTATTTGTGTGGAAAGCGGAAGAGAGAGTAGGAGGAAAAGGGAGAGGAGAAAAAGACAGCAAAGTGTTCACAACTGCTGAATCTAGGTGGAGGTATTCACTGTTCTATTGTCTTTTTGCTAGTTTTTAAATTTTTCATTATAAAAATTGGGCAGGGGGGGATTGCAACCTATGGCATTACTGACAATTTCTGTGGAAAGTATTGCAGGCTTCTGCCTCAGTAACTTCAATACACTAGCTTATTATTTGGGGGGAAGGCATGAATGAAGGGGTAAACCACAAGTCTGTACACATCACTGCTTGCACAATGGACCCACTTAGCATTACGGTTCCTCCAAGGTGCTGTGTGCAGAGGCACAAACACTCGTGAGCTGCCTCAGAAGAGGCCTGGGACAGGCTCACAGCACTGAGCCAATGCATAAACTGTCCGCTTCTGAAGCTCACAGCCTATTTACAAGTATTCTTCCCTTCTTCACCTCTGTTCTCTCCCAGTGCTCAAGACATTAATGTTGCCATCAGTCATACTGGTGTGCCAATGTCATGTCAAATCCAACTCATCTGCATATCCAACATTCAATGAGTTCATTGTTAGCAAATATTCTTTCAATCCAGGTATATATAAATTAAAAAATTTTAAAAACATCTAGGTCTTATTTTAAAAACTTCGAGATTATTCTTCATTAATGTATTGATAGCATAAGACCACGCTTTCTCCCAAACTCTCAATAATGATTCAGTTTCAAGTGAATTTTAAGGATACTATGTATGAAAATATTTTATCTTGGTATTAATAATAGGACTCAAAATTCTGTAGAGTCCTGCATGATTGGTCAACTTTTTGCAGGAAATCTCTTCTGTAAAAACATTTCATCTTCTGAATAGCGACCTAGTCACATGGGTTAAATCAATGAAGTAAAAGAGCATTTAAATAAAAATATTACATTCAGGTGAGTTCTGTCAACAATGAACTTCAATTAGCAAGATTAGTACTATTTTTTTCATGACTTCTCTGCCATGAAACAGCACCATTGTGAAAATTCAGTTCATATGTGTATTTTACGCAAACATACACATCATATTTTATGAATAGGTTTAATATAATAATTATTAAGTGGTTGCCATTTACAACCCAATCTATGCTAGGCATTGTTAGAGGATATGAAAGTGGCTGGCAGAGAGGTCAGGAATTATGTATATAAATAACAATAAATCATTGCCCTTGGTCCAAACAATCTCTATCAGAAAGGCCACCCTTTAGATCTACAGCCCTGGGCTAGTATCTCTTATTTCTTCACACCCCCAAACCTGAAACCCCATGCACGTTACGTAACCCAGGTTTCTATGTACAAAAATGGTCAGAGCCTACCACAGGGCAGAACTAACCCTATAATGACAAGGCTGGTCTTTCAGAGATTATTTTTTCAATAAGCAATGAGTCAGAGTTGAGAACTCTTTTACTCAATGAGTGTCACTGAACTTCAGTGAAACACCATTTGGGTATATATAGAATACAGTCAGGGAAATGGTGAGATACATCTGCTAAACAGCAGTGCTAGTCTTGGGAATAAGGGGACTTGGGTTGCAGTTTCCATTCACAAGTAATGTCCTATATAAGGTGCACAGAATCCTTAATGTCTCTGGGCCTTGCTTCTCTGTGAAAGGAAAGCTAGGCTCTATCAGAGTTTTTCGATTTCTATTCATGACACTAAAAAGCAGAGATGGGTGAGGGTCAAGGGTCAAGGCTGTCTAAGGCTGCAGGTAAGTACACGTTCTTTAGATATCCACTGGCTTGTCTTAAATCTTCTATAATTTTACATTCCAGTCCACAGTATGCTTGCAATTAACAAAATGTCCCCCTACCCACTTACACTCAGGCCAAGTTTCCTCTGGTTGAGAACCTCTGATGTACCACTAGCTCTAATACACATTTCAAATAGGACATTCCAAGAGCCTATTAATTATGAGCTGCTGATAGCTTCTTATTGAAGCTCCAAATCACTGGACACCTTGTGCTGAATGAAAACTTCTTGGTGCTTCTAGTGAAACACTGACTCTTTAGAACTCTCCCGTTGTATAAAAACAGCAGGATGAAGCATGGTTCTAATTAAAGAGTAAGCTATATTTAATACAAACATGCCTACACCAAACTTTGACTCCAGGAACAGTGCACAAACACGTGACTTTGACAATTACCCAAGTTTGTTTCTCACATTTTTCCTAGCGACTCTTGCAGTTTATTCAAATAAATTAAGGTAATACTGGTAATTTATAAAGTAACACTGATCTACAAAATTACTTTAAAAGTCATAAATGATGGGAGAAAAAAAGAACCAGTTGTCTAAGCTATCTTCCCTAGATCTAAAATGTGCATTCAGTTTCAATCTGTTTTTTGTTTTCCAGCCAACTTACAAATAATTATTAAGGGGGAAAAAAAAAAGTTTAGGGAAGAATTTGTAAACCAATTTAAAAAACACACCAGTCAACAGTCTGCTGCCTTTATTTCACTGCCTAATTCGCCACAAAATTCTCTCAGTGTAAAATGACTTATAAACATAACAGCAGCTATGCTCCAAAACAAAGCTGAGACCATTAGAAACATATTTCTATTTGTTTATTATTATTAATTATAATTATTATTAATATATGTGATATTTTAAGGCCTGACTCAAATCTAAAAAGGACATATGTGAGTCACCTCATAGCTTGAGCCTGGTCTTACAACTAGTGATTTAACTGAGAAAATGTCTTTGAAAGCCACACTTTATGACCAAAACAGAAAATAGTGAAATTGCCTAAATGTAGTAGGTAAAGCCTTCTGGCACCATCTTTTTGGGGTGGAATCTGAATCTTAAAGAATCTTAAAGCTGTCCATAACCTAAGCATAACGATATGTCCACTTTCAGAAAGGTATCCCAGTTCATCAGGTAAGAAAACAAAAACACTCTAGATTTATTTATAACAGCAAAGGCCTGGATTATTAACCTAAATACCCACCAAAGGTGAGTGGCAAAACACCTCATAGGTTTTCCAAACAATGGGCTACTTAAAGCTATTAAAAACCATCTTTTCAAAGAACAGTTAACAACTTGAGGGGGGAAGGGAAAGCATAACATGAATATAAATAGGTATCAATGTATGGTAGGAACACAAATTAGAAAAAATAAATAGCAATAATTGATAAGACTACAACTGATTTTTTTCCTTCTATACACAACTCTTTATTTTCAAAATTAAAGAAACATGTCACTTTGTAATCAGAGAAATTCCTAATATCCTTAGAAAAAAGACTCAAAAAGGTTGTGCCCTCCTTTGAGTATTTTACCACCAAGTTTTACTCTGCCTTAAATTATCTGGGGAGTCTATTTCAAATTTTCATTCTTTTTTTGACTATAATCAAATGATCTCCTATCTTTTTTTATCTTTAATAAATTAAAGCTAAATAAAACCAAGCTAAAATATGAAGATCTTTATAGTTCAGTCCCTATTTAATTTTTCCTAATTCTAATTAAACTTCTAAAGCAAAAGCAAGGCATAAAATATAACCAACACTTCAGCATTATCAGAAATACACATTTTGAAGACATGTACAAAAAAAGTCTCAACAGCACAAATATTTGGTATTCCATATCCAGAGGAATATTCTAGGATTCACAGAACCCAAAGGAGCTACAGCTTCTCTTTCCAGTCTTCAGCAGGCTTACCATTGGGGCAGAAAACATGCAAATGCTTTCTAAGTCTTTCCTTTTCATTAGTTAATAACCCAAAAACAAAACCAGAATCTGAATTTAGATCTTCACACTAAAATTCTAATCTAGTCCAAACCAGTATTTCCAAACTTAGAGCAAAATGGGATTAACTCCTATAGGAGTAAATAAAAGTTATTTTGCTGATAAACACAAGTTTCATATAGATTAAAGCATGAATATTTAAAAGAACAATTGAAAATAGAAGGTAAAGACTGGTTTGTTACCAAGAGAAAAGAACAATCAGAAGTTCTATAAAATGAAAGTTGTGAGCTAAATGAAGAACCCCAAATTATGACTCATCTTTCCATAATTTAAATTTTGTCTGGAATAGAGCAAGCACTAGCTAGTTGTGAAATGTTTCCAAAACTGTATTTAAAAAGTCTGTATTTCACTGAATTCCTTACATTTCATGTTTCTAACTATAAAT